CTAAAACTGTGTGTGTTTGTGTGTGTGTGTGTGTGTGTGTGTGTGTGCACATAGGACCTGCTGTATCTGCTGTTCTGTGAGGGTCCAGAGACCCGTGGAATCTTCCGTCGTTCAGCAAATGCCAAAAACTGTAGGATCCTGAAGGAGCGAATTAATTCTGGGCAAAGTATTTCACTGCATGAACAATCAGTGTTCGTCTCTGCATCTCTAATTACAGTGAGAACACAGTCATTTTAATTCAACAGTGATATCCTCTGAATAAAATGCACACAAATCATTCTTCATCTACAGTCACACTCACACTATTCTACATTCTCAATCTAAATTCTGATAATCAATCGATCGAGCATAAGAATTTCCTCTGTGCCCTATATATTAAAATGTATGGCCTTTTTATTCTTTATTTAATTATGTGTGTGTGTGTGTCTGGGTGAAGGAGTTTTTACGCAAACTGCCTGGTGGTGTTTTGTGCTGTGACTTATATGAGGACTGGATGGAAGTGCTACAGACTGAGGATCAACAAGAAAGACTTAACAGAGTCAGAAGGTGAGAACAGCATACAAACATACTTATGTACTCTACATATGATCACACATACACACACTCAATGTATAAAGTGTACAGACTAAGACCACATTTTCACTTGGATGATTTTTGGTTGATCTATATCTAAAACAATGGTTTTAATTATTGCTCATATGTTTTATTTACATAAATCCTTTTTATATCCCATAATCAAAATAAAAATCAAAGTGAACATTTTTGAGGAGCGTGTGTGACATGCATTTGTGTCTGTGGAAGCAGTTGTTTGTTTAGGCACCACGCAAACCACGCAATTGCGTGGGGCCCCGTGGTCTTGGGAGGACCCTGCAGAGCTCATGGAACGGAGACTAGAAAATACACAGAAAAAAAGCTTTTAGGCATCTATTGAAAGTAAGAAAAAAGAGGTGTCACAAAGATTCTGAAAGTCTGACTTCCAGAGTTTATGGGCAATAACTCTTAAGTAGACCAGTATGAGAAGACTTCAAGTAACAGGCAAGTGAGAGAGTAATTTACAAAGGTCCTGCTCTTAAGGACAAGGAAACATAGTAATTATGCTTCAAATGGTTAGTTCATTAGGATATTTTGACATCCCTTTGCCATGGCAACACTCACATTATTGCATGTGCTACTAAAAACTCGCTTATACTTTCATAGCAGCATTAAAGAAATACAAACTTCTCACGTGAAAAATGAAAAGCTTAAGACTCATTTAAGTGTTTAATCAGTGAAACTTCTGGAAAAATGCATCTTATTGTTTCCGACACGAAAGCAGCCATTTAGGTATTCATCCATAACATTTACAGCAAAAACATACTTTTATGTACATTTGGGTAGATGCTGAAACATCTAAAACATAAGCAGTATTACATATTAGCAAATATAGAAACTAAATATTTATGAATGCTTTATATCATAAATCTATTTATATAGTTACATTTGCCATTTTATAGATATATTTTAAATCCCTTAACCCTATCCTCAAACCTAAACATATAATTACTTTTCAACAATATAAAAAAGAAGCAGTCAGAAAAATGTACAGTGACAATAATTTTAGTTACAATATGCAATTATATAGATAATCCCTCCCTCGTCTCTAAACCTAATCCTATGCGTGTGTGTGTGTGTGTTCTTGAATATATGGTTTATGAGGACACAAATTGTCCATGACATGGGTATCACGACGTAAACATGGTTTATGAGGACACTTCCTGTGTCCTTGTAAACCAAATGGCTTAAAAAACATACAAAACAGTTTTTTTCCCTTGAAAATTAAAAAAAGGCAGTAGTTTTCTATGAGGGTTAGGGTAAGGCAGTGGTTCTCAAACCTGTCCTGGAGTACCCCCTGCCCTGCACATTTTGTATGTCTCCCTCATCTATCACACCTGATTCAACTCATCAGCTCATTAGTGGAGACTGCAAGACCTGAAGTGGGTGTGTCACAGTGGTTCTCAAACCTGTCCTGGAGTAGCCTACCCCCAGCCCTGATTTTGTATGTCTCCCTCATCTATCACACCTGATTCAACTCATCAGCTCATTAGTGGAGACTGCAAGATCTGAAGTGGGTTTGTCAGATATAGGGAGACATACAAAATGTGCAGTGCTGGGGGTACTTCATGGAGAGGTTTGAGAACCACTGGGGTAAGGGATAGAAAATACAGTTTGTACAGTATAAAAAATTACGCCTATGGAGAGTCCAACTGATGACGCTCAATTTATCTTTAAATATAAAATAAATACCTATTATTTGAACTAATTAGAAAAAGAAACTAATTAGTGTGAGGACCAGCTGTTGTAAGGAAAGAGCAGCAAAGTGTTATTACATTTTTTTTTGGAGCACAGCAGCATGAATGCTCAGCTGGTAGATTTTTAATTGATATGATATTTCTCAGAAACATCTGAATCCTGTTGATGTGAGCTCTTTAAAAAAAAAAAAAAAAAAATGGTGCTTTCACAGTTTCTCATTTTCCTCCGTTTTCTAGTCCTGAAGTCTGCAACTCTGCTCCTGCTCCCACTGTTCTGCAGTTTATGTCCAACCTCCTTCAAAACACCTGTGATTTTTCAGGTAGTCCTAAGAGCTTGATTAGCTGGTCCAGGTTTGAGTTAAAACTATGCAGAACAGCTGATCTTTAGGAGCAAGGTTGAAGACCTCCATTCTGGTCCGAATTCTTCTAGACAACATTTGACTTTTTTTTTAGCACTAGGAAATAATGGAATTCAGAATGGACAACTCTTATCGAAGTTTGCATAAATTATTTCGTAAAAATATAGATCACATTGTAAAGCTGTACATGGTGACAATAGCGTGAATTAATGGGAACATTAAAATGAGCTTATTTTATTTATTAACAAACATTTATTTTTTATTATTAACTTTCCAAAATGACAGGTGTAATAAGTAGGCAAATTTAAGAATTCAAATTGATAAAAAAAAATTATTAAATATTCAGATTCCTTTGTTTTGCTTGTGGTAAATCTGTTATACAATGACCTAGATCTCTAGGTAGTTTGCATCTACTGTAACTTGCCTCAGGGTACTGAAGAAACATATCCTTTTAACTAGTTTGTACAACCAATATTATTCAGAATATCTGAATAGATATTCATCATAGAAATTCCTGTCTTTGGTCTGAGTTATTAAAGTGCCACTCAAGCATTTTACTGCAGGCAAACAGTGATAATATTTCCTTCTGCTGTTCTGAGTTTTACATTTTGATTTACCTTTTGAAAAATTAAGATTCCAAGCCAACTGCTTATTGCTTGAAAATTTCTTACAGAGTGATATTAATATTCACTTGTTTATGCACACCCGTTGTTTTATCTTTGTGTGTGTGTATGTGTGCATATTTTTGCTGGAATGCATTTTCATATGTATGAGAGGGCAGACGAACTTCTGCACATAATAATTTGTTGGCAAGATTATTTAAGCATGTGTTTTATGTTTCTGTTTGTCTGGTTGCATTTGCCTGTCATTGTTTAAGCTCTATTGTCTTTTTGTCTAGTTTGCTTGCACAGTTGCCGGAGGAGAATGTCACCTTGCTGTGTCTCTTATTTGGAGTGCTACACAGGATACACACTCACTCGGAGGTGAATCAGATGACAGCAACAAACCTGGCACTTTGCATTGCACCCAACATGCTCTGGAAGTCTTCCCAAATCAGCCCTGACAAAGAGGGACAGAGTGTGTTGCAGGTAAGTCAGCAAACATCTGGTTACATGTATTCTTAGTAATACGATCATTTCACATGTATTTTCTCATTTGTTTAATGGGATCATATATAGCATGTCCATTAACCGTTTCAATATGCAGTTTCGATGTTCATTTTTAGGTTAAAATCAGTATATACAATGGGGATCAAAAGTCTGAGACCTCTAGTGAGAACTATTTGTCATTACAAATTGTTATTAGCACAATTTCAGTGAAAAAATTTTTTCAGAATTTTTAATGATCATGTTCTCTGTCATTATTTGAGAATGATCTAAAGAGTATATTATGCTTAAAATACTTAGCTGATTAGTGATCTAGAAATCTGAAGTATTTGTTTTATTTTACATTAAAACTTTTTCATTTTGTTTGGGTTTTATTTATATTTTTCATGATTTAAAATGTTCAAAATCCTACTTTGTTTACTTTCTGGTTTAAATGACATTTCAAATTCCTGATTTTTAATAAGCTTTCAGACTTTTGAACCCCATGGTTTATTTAAGAGAAATTGTACTTGGATTCCTATAATGACTCATGACAAGAATTAGAAAGAACTAAATAGCTAGTAGAGACAAGAAACCTGAAATAAGACCTACATAACTGTGACAATTCACAGGTAATGAACATACAAGACTTTAAAAGTATTCTTAATATAGCTAATGGCCACTTGGCTAATTATATCATAAATAGCGAACTGTTCTTTGAAACAGCTACACAATATGTATTTATTCATTAAGCGCACATACACACTTGTAAATCATACAGAACTGCTTTGTGCATTGCTTATTATTCAAGAGAAACCTTGATAATGATGTGACTTATCCAGTATTTTTAGCCTAAAGCTGCAAATGATTCTCTCCACCCTTCAGATAATGAATTGTAATCCATCTGATGGCCGCCGTCTTGCTCTGCTTGTTAACTTTAGCAGTTTAGCAAAATCAGATTTCCTGATGTCACCAAAGGGATCTGTCTTATCAACAGGATGTTGACACAAACGTAAGCAGGGAAATCATTAAAGGGGTCATATGATGTTGCTTATTTGGTGTATTTGGTGTAATGAAATGTGTTTATGCGGTTTAAGGTTCAAAAAACACATTATTTTCCACATACTGTACATTATTGTTTCTCCTCTATGCCCCGCCTTTCTGAAACGCGTAGATTTTTACAAAGCTCATCGTTCTGAAAAGCGAGGTGTGCTCTGATTGGCCAGCTATCCAGTGCTTTGTGATTGGCCGAATTCCTCAAGCGTGTGACAGAAATGTTACGCCCCTTACCATACTATGATGCCGGGTCCCGGCGCGACGAGACAAAACCAATAAAACTCATTATAAACGAGGCATTTGTTGCATCCAGTGGGGACATAATTACTGATTATAATGACTTATACTGTCTTTTTACGCGGTGCGTTGCATCGCGCTGCGTAAACATAAAACCATGTCTGCATTTGTGACGGAGAAATGACAAACAACAAGCGCTACTCTACACTGCTCAAAACTCGCGTTTGAATCGTCAGTGGCAAATCCTTTAAATATGAAAACGTACTTACAGGCTGTGAGTCAGCATTATTTGTCAGCATCATAGACTGTATAGGGTCAGCATG